TCTCTGTTTCTTGCCTCTCTTACTGCCCGTCATGGGTGTTTGAGTGGGGGGGGGGGGCAGCAGGACTACGAAATTTGAAAAATTTCAGGGCAAAATTGAGTATATTTAGAGCAAAAGTTAGGGTTTTCATGGTGAAAATCGATAATTTTCAGAGAAAATTTTTTCCAAGGCAGTTTCTTTCATAATTCACTGTTTATTTGTAGTTAAGATGAGTTGATTTATTTGCTGTATCAAAGAAACACTTTATTGTATGTTACTAACTCGTGTTGTCACTGCTGTGCCATTTTATGTTACGTACAGTGTTTATGAACAAGTACACTGATGCGGTGTAATGTGATATTTATTGACTACGATGGGCGAAACGTCAACATACTGCAAGCATTATACTGCATGTCTCTTTCCGTCGTGTCGCTATTTAATACCATTTCTTTCCTTATTGCGCTTATGTCCAAATTATGGTACTTTGAAAAAAAAAAATAGGCATTTTTTCTGCCTTCCTCCCCAGAAAGTGCTTCCAGAAAGTGCCACCAGGAAGTGCCACTAGAAAGTGCCGCTACATTCTCCTATGCCCTTACTGCAAGTACATTTACATGTCTTTCTCCTTACCTTCTAACTGGAAAAACAAAAAACAAATCGATACTCATGTTTCTTTTTTTTTTTTTTATAATTCAGTCATTTTCCTCTAATGTTACGTGCATAATGTTACGTGCATAATGTTACGTGCATAATGGCCGCAGCTGCTTAGGTATATAAGGAAACCAGGAAAGATCCAGAGGTCAGTCACAAGACTTAACCGAGGAGAACGGACCTGACGGGACGTACGTTTATCTCTGATCTTTGATGGCCTTCAAGAATTTGCCTGGTCAACCAGGCTGTTGCTGCAGGCAGCCCTCTGGCCCGCGTATCCATTACAGCCTGGTTGATCTGGCATTTGGTGGAGGCACTTGTCGAGTTTCTTGAAGACTTCTTCATTTGTCCCAACAGTGTTTTTCATATCTCTGGGTGAGATGTTGAATAGTCTTGGTTCACGGATGTTGATACGCTTTTCTCTTATTGCTCCCACGGCATCCTTAATTTTCACTGGGTTTATTTTGCATTTCTTCCATGTCTCTCACTCCAGATTTGGGACAAGGTCCTCAAGTTCCTTCCACGTATATTATCATGTACTCCAGAGAGTATGTATTTTGAATTCTAAAGCTTTCCCAGTAATTTAAATACTATATTGGCTCCATGTATGCCATAAATGATCTCTGTGTGTGTTCCAGCTCCGATATCTGGTACGTAAGACACATACCCAAGAGTTAGGTATCTTTATTCCGAAACGTTTCACCTACAAAGTAGGCTTCTTCAGTCGAGTACAGAAAAGTTGGTAGAAGCAGGAGAGATGTGAAGACGATGTAATCCGTCCATCACTCTCGAAGACGTGGTTTTGAGGTGGTCAGTCCCTCAGCCTGGAGAAGAGTATTTGTTCCACAGTCTGGAACAATGTGAAGTTACAGTGACGGTATGGAGCCTTATATACTGTCAGGTGCTTCTTCCAACTCTTCTGTATTCGACTGAACAAGCCTACTGTTTAGGTAAAACGTTTCGGAATACAAATACCTAACTGTTGCACATGTGTCTTACTTACCAACCTGTCGGTATTTTATACCATTTTGATGTTCATTCCGATATCTCTGCTGCCCTGAACGAAGTCGTCAATACCACAATATTTCACGCTTAAGCTCATACATGTAAAGAGGTATTGCTCTGCCACCTCGTCATGTTCCTGGAATTCGTGAAATTTGCCTTACTGTGTTTTTCGATCATTCACATAAGGGGAACACAGGAGAGGAGAAATTAAAAGTGCCGAGCAACATAGGCGAATCAGAATTAGTGATGCAAGGTAGAGCACATGAGATACTTTCAAGGAGAGCTGGACAACAATGTTGTGAAGCTGAAACTGCATTAATAAAATGTAAAAAGGGAGGAAATATGTAAATATTATGCCATGAGAATTTGCATATATGGTGGAAGTTGAAAATATCCACACGTCAAAAAGATGTTCCAATATGCGGAGAAAAGGTCGGTGTCGCTTTGGTAAATAATGTAGACGTTTTCTGCCTGAGGTGTGTCCGCCATTATCAACGACCAGGGAATGTTGTGTGAAGAACACACAGCGGTATAAAAATACATTCCAAGACACGGGAAACATTATGGAAAATAATGTTTAAGGGGAAGAAATGTATTAGAGAAACCAACAAATAAATACAAGAACAGACAACAGAGAATATATAGCTAGGCAATAGGGCAACACAGCATGTCAGGTCACACACCAGGGACAAACATACATCACCCTACATTACCAGGGCTGGAGAGACTGGGAATATGTACACACAGAACCATACTACTGGATGGCTTAACACCAGTCGTATTAACAAAACCTATACAAAAGCTAAGCATCCCGAATGGGAAATCTTCCTTCACTTTTATTGACATCGAGGGATTAAATAAATAACAAATTCAACTATATAAGTGGGATCGTCACAAAAGAAAATGCATCTTTTGGAGGTTTTACAGAAACTGGTACAAGGGATATTTTGGACCGGGAGATGTGGGTGAAAAACTTGGAATGTTTATAGATATCAGAGTGACACTTGTAAGACACTTGTTGTACGAAACTGTTGAAATCAATAAATGATATATTAAAAGTACTGTGTAGATATGATAATAGTACACAGTACCGAGAAGTTGATAAGTAAGACACATGTGCAACAGTTAGGTATCTGTATTCCGAAACGTTTTACCTACACAGTAGGCGTCTTCAGTCGAAGACAGAGGAGGCAGCAGAAGAAATGGAGATGTCAAGACGATGTAATCAGTCCATCAGTTTCATAATCTGGAACAACGTGAAGCTAAAGTAACAGAATGGAGACTTATATACTGTCAGTCAGGTGCAGATAATATTTACAGGACAGGCGGGGTCCACTAGTAGAATTAAGAATGTCATCATTGAGAGGCAGTGTAGGAAACCTCTCATGTACAACCTTTCTCACTCGTAACTGGTGGTCAGGCAAACAAAAAAAAAAAATATCGAAAATAATGATTATATTCTTACTTGTGATGGGCTCCTCCGCCTGTCCTGCCGCCAAGGTTATCTGCGACTCACCTTGACAGTATGTCTCCATTATGTTACTTCACCTTCACAAAATACAAGGATCAATGAGGGGAGTAAGTTACCTAACGTGGTGGTAGGCAGGTACTGCACTCACTGGACCACACCAGGTCCACTACACACACACACACACACACACACACACACACACACACACACACACACACACACACACACACACACACACACACACACACACACACACACACACACACTCGCACACATACACATACACACAGACAAGAGAGAGAGGGGTGGGTGGATTGCATTTTCTTGGACTGCAAGAAGGCGTTTGACACAGTTCCACACAAGAGATTGGTGCAAAAACTGGAGGACCAAGCAGGGATAACAGGGAAGGCACTACAATGGATCAAGGAATACTTGTCAGGAAGACAGCAGCGAGTCATGGTACGTGGCGAGGTGTCAGAGTGGGCACCTGTGACCAGCGGGGTCCCGCAGGGGTCAGTCCTAGGACCAGTGCTGTTTCTGGTATTTGTGAACGACATGACGGAAGGAATAGACTCTGAGGTGTCCCTGTTTGCAGATGACGTGAAGTTGATGAGAAGAATACACTCGATCGAAGACCAGGCAGAACTACAAAGGGATCTGGACAGGCTGCAGACCTGGTCCAGCAATTGGCTCCTGGAGTTCAATCCCACCAAGTGCAAAGTCATGAAGATTGGGGAAGGGCAAAGAAGGCCGCAGACGGAGTACAGTCTAGGGGGTCAGAGACTACAAAGTTCACTCAAGGAAAAAGATCTTGGGGTGAGTATAACACCAGGCACATCTCCTGAAGCGCACATCAACCAAATAACTGCTGCAGCATATGGGCGCCTAGCAAACCTCAGAACAGCATTCCGACATCTTAATAAGGAATCGTTCAGGACCCTGTACACCGTATACATTAGGCCCATATTGGAGTATGCGGCACCAGTTTGGAACCCACACCTAGCCAAGCACGTAAAGAAACTAGAGAAAGTGCAAAGGTTTGCAACAAGACTAGTCCCAGAGCTAAGAGGTATGTCCTACGAGGAGAGGTTAAGGGAAATCAACCTGACGACACTGGAGGACAGGAGAGATAGGGGGGACATGATAACGACATACAAAATACTGAGAGGAATTGACAAGGTGGACAAAGACAGGATGTTCCAGAGATTGGACACAGTAACAAGGGGACACAGTTGGAAGCTGAAGACACAGATGAATCACAGGGATGTTAGGAAGTATTTCTTCAGCCACAGAGTAGTCAGTAAGTGGAATAGTTTGGGAAGCGATGTAGTGGAGGCAGGATCTATACATAGCTTTAAGCAGAGGTATGATAAAGCTCACGGCTTAGGGAGAGTGACCTAGTAGCGATCAGTGAAGAGGCGGGGCCAGGAGCTCGGACTCGACCCCCGCAACCTCAACTAGGTGAGTACAACTAGGTGAGTACACACACACACACACACACACACACACACACACACATACACATACACACACACACACACACACACACACACACACACACACACACACACTGAAATAATAATAATTTTTATTTATACATACACAAGGTATACAGTCCTAGCTGACAGCTGTGACATACTACAATATAAAAAGTCCCTTATTAATAATGCAGAACATTTTGGGCAAATTAGGTCAGTTTTGTCCCCAGGATGCCACTGTACTGGGGATCGACCCCCGGACCTCAGTGTGTGAGCTGAGTGCGCTACCAATCAAGCTGTGTCTGGAATGAGAAGCGTTGCTGGAAAGATTATTTTTGCATTAGAATGTTGGTAAAATAAATATTAATGTTAAAGTGAATATTACTGGTAATAAATTAAATTTTTCCTCCATAACAGTCGATGTGTCGACCCAACAGAGGAACAGTTCCCGGATACTTCCTGGCCGGACGTGTCATGGGCTGGCTGCCGGTGAGTACATCTCTTCTACTGTTATCTTTTTATGTAGGATAACATCAAGAGATAACACCTACTGGGTGTTATCCTCTCTAAGATGCATGAGCTCTGATACACTGAAGTTATTCAGAAGAGGCATCCTGAAGTTACTGAGATTATTTTAAAAATATAAATGGTAACTGTGCACCTTTATACTGTGATGAGAATCTCAGTTTTATTCTAAGTTGGATAAATCAAAGGTGAACGTTTGTAAGTTAACAGAAGCGACTTTCTCAAGTTATGATACATTCCAAAAACTTGGAATGGTCTATATAATATTTATCAGAGTGTAACAGTGCATTATAGTAGCTGCTTCAACCTTGACTTTCTTGCACTAAAATAACATTGAAAATTTGAAGATGATCGGATCAGGAATTCTCAAATTATAATTTTTTTTTAAATAAAAATCGGGATATCTAATAGTAATTTAAGCCCTAAATATTAAACTTGATTATTAATGTCTATGATTTTGAATGAATTAAGGTTTGTGGGCTGCAGTGAGCAGACTGAATTATTTTGATTGAATTATGATAACGTAGAGAAAACAAATGAAGCCAGTAATAGTTATGACTTTTTTAATATGACAATAAGTAAGTCACGATAGCAGCAAGATGGTAATGGTGGTAGAAATTAATTTATAAAATAAAATTAAAAACTTGCATTTATAGTCACAGTGGGGGCTCATGCTAACCTGCCTAGTGTAGAGAAGCATAACTGGTTAAATAAATCTTATATCGACATTGTGTGGTGGTAAGAGCATGGGCTGGGTAATTTTTGGATTGCCACGGGTAGAGTCCTGCCCATTCCCCGAGCGTCAATTTTTTTTAATAATTTTATTGTAGGTCTGTTTAAAGAACAATTGGTGGGCCGCAAGAGCGACCTCATAGTTCAATATATTTTGTAGGTTTCTTAAGCTAATGTAGTATAAAATATACTAAAGAAAATCACATTTGTTAAATTTTAGCGAAAACTGAGGAAATGATACCAATGGTTGGAGTGGTGATGGTGCATGTGCAGGCGCACACACCTGCGTGTGTGGAATACAAGACTGTCAGATGACGATGGTAACCAAACCTGCTGGATAACTAACAACTAATGTTTATTCACACACACACAGGTGGGTGCATCACTCTTTGCCAGCAACATTGGTACGGAACACTTCCTGGGCATGGCTGGATCTGGCGCTGCTGCGGGTATTGGCGTTGGAGCTTATGAATTTAATGTAAGTATATGAAGAAGTTTTAGGGGGAAATTGCGACATTATATATATGATGCATTTTCTGGATGTGAAAAACTGAAGCTTGAGGTTCCTGAACCTATATTCCCTGGAACGCAGGCGGGAGAGATACATGATTATATACACCTGGAAAATCCTAGAGGGACTAGTACCGAACTTGCACACGAAAATCACTCACTACGAAAGCAAAAGACTTGGCAGACGATGCAACATCCCCCCAATGAAAAGCAGGGGTGTCACTAGCACGTTAAGAGACCATACATTAAGTGTCAGGGGCCCGAGACTGTTCAACTGCCTCCCAGCATACATAAGGGGGATTACCAACAGACCCCTGGCAGTCTTCAAGCTGGCACTGGACAAGCACCTAAAGTCGGTTCCTGACCAGCCGGGCTGTGGCTCGTACGTTGGTTTGCGTGCAGCCAGCATCAACAGCCTGGTTGATCAGGCTCTGATCCACCAGGAGGCCTGGTCACAGACCGGGCCGCGGGGGCGTTGACCCCCGAAACTCTCTCCAGGTAAACTCCAGGTAAATATATGTGAGGGAGAGTAAAGGCGACCGTCCAGGTCTGTAGCACACAGTCTGGACGACGCCATACCGAAGATGTGTGGAGTTGCAGCATCACACACACACACATATATACACAGGTGAGTACATACACACACACGTACACGTACATACGTGCATACGTAAGTACGTACGTATGTACGGCCAGACTTTGACTTTCTGAGGCCCTAAACCTCGTCAAGTTTAAGAAGTCTTAAAATTTAGAAAATCGAAGCAGGCAACAGTAAAATATGGGAACAATATTGTTTGGTGCCCATCATATCGTAAAGGTTTACTGTGTACTCTGTACTCTGTACTCTGTACTGTGTACTCTGTACTCTGTACTCTGTACTCGATTACCTTATGCATAAGTTCAGCCCTGTGTACAAGTATGACACCTGCGCATTGATGTGTATAGTAAGAGTTATTAATGTAAACTTACACATATTGATCTTGGTACACACACACACACACACACACACACACACACCACACACACACACACACACACACACACACACACACACACACACACACACACCCTGGGAAGTGCTTCATCAGCCACAGAATAGTCAGGAAGTGGAATAGTTTGGGAGGCGATGTAGTCGAGGCAGGATCCATACATAGCTTTAAGCAGAGGTATGATAAAGATCACGGTTCAGGGAGAGTGACCTAGTAGCGACCAGTGAAGAGGCGGGGCCAGGAGCTTGGACTCGACCCCTGCAACCTCAACTAGGTGAGTACACACACACACACACACAGTACATAGTACATTGTGCGTGAGGACACAGGAAGTGGAATAGTCTGGGGTGTGAAGTAGTAAGAGGTGGGATCCATACATAGCTTTAACAAGAGGTACGACGAGGGTCTTGTAGCCTGGAGAGACTAGACGTAGTAGCAACCAGCTAGGAGGCGGGGCCAGGAGCTGTGACTCGGCACCTACAACCACAATTAGGTGAATACACACACACACACACACACACACACACACACACACACACACACACACACACACACACACACACACACACACAAAATGGTATTTTTCCAGCTGGATATCACATGATAAGGAAAGTGAGACGAAACAATGGACACAGAGGGATGGTTCTTTTAATCAGAAATCCATGGAGTTTTGGAGAGGAACAAACAGACAAGAGCCGCACAACTTCAGAGTGGACTCAGTTAATAATGAGTCTTGACAAAATGTCAATATGGATTCTGTAAGAGCTGAATCACTGTCCGAACTGTTAGCTGTGATCGACAAGTCACTGAACACAGAAAAGTTACCAGAGACAGTGAACGTAGTACCTATATTTAAGAAAGGAGATAGGCAGGAGGCACTGATCTACAGGCCGGTTTTGCTGATATATATACCATACTATGCAAGGTAATGGAGAAGATAATCGGAAGGAGAGTGGTAGAGCAGTTGGAGACGAGGAGTCTCATAAACAACAACCAGAATGGGTTCAGAGATGGCAGGTCTTGTCTTGCCATCCTTTTTTTAAGTTTAATATCTTTATTGTGCACCCCATACCCGTCCTGTGGGCGGTAGTCGAAAGATTAAAGAGGTACATAATGCCACCCTTGAAGATGTGTGTAGACGGTATGTTTGGGTGTGTGGGCCGTGAAGGCATGAGTAAGGTGTGGGTGTGGGGCTATGAACTTGGGACTGTGGGAGTGGAGCTATGTGGGCTTGAAACTGTGGGTACACTGGCAAGCACGGGATGCTATCCACAAAACAGGGGAAGAGGTAAAGAAACTATTGATGGACCTGGATACATCGAGGGCAATGGGAGCTGTCAACGTGGATTCTATGAGAGGGCGCAGGAGCATTATTTAAATCACTAGCTATGATCTATAATAAGTCAGGATACGGGAAAGTTACCAGAGATCTGGAAGACAGCAAATGTAGTCCCTATGTTTAAGAAAGGAGACGGTTGATAAACTACAGAGCAATTTCTCTGACTTCCTTACCTTGCAAAGTAATAGATTTATTTATTTATTTATTTATTTATTTATTTAGATAAACATATTAGGGGGATAGTGGTAGAGCACTTGGAAAGATGTGGTTTTGTAAATAATCAGCATGAGCTTAGGGAGGGCAAATCTTGTCTTGTTAACTTGCTGAAATTCTGTGGCAGAGTAACAGATGTGTGACGAGAGAGAGAGAGAGAGAGAGAGAGAGAGAGAGAGAGAGAGAGAGAGAGAGAGAGAGAGAGAGAGAGAGAGAAATAGATAGATAGATAGATAGAGAGAGAGAGAGAGAGAGAGAGAGAGAGAGAGAGAGAGAGAGAGAGAGAGAGAGAGAGAGAGAGAGAGAGAGAGAGAGAGGGGGGGAGGGTAGACTGCAAGAAGACGTTTGACACTGTACCTTACGAGAGGCTGGGCTAAAAACTCGTAATGCAGGCAGGAATAACAGGGCATGTACTCCGGATGATCGAAGAGTTTTGGGGTAAGGAAGCAACAAGTGATTGTTACGAAAGAGACGTCAATATGGGGAGGGTAACTAGCAGGGTTCCGCAAGGATCAGTATTAGGACCGGTTCTATTTCTGATTTATGTGAATGATATGTCAGATTGGATTGATTCACATATATCCTTATTTACTTATGATGTAAACCTGATAAGGAGAATAAAAAGCAGACAAGAACAAGGAAGAGCTCCAAAGGGATCTGGACAAGTTTCCAGTGTGGTCAGATAAGTAGTTGCTGGAATGTAACCCCAGTAAATGCAAGGTTACTAAGATTGGGGAAGTAGCAAGAAGACCGGGAACATGGTATAGACTAGGGGGACAAAAGCTGCAGAGAAAGAGCACAGTGTCCAGGATATCGCTAGAGGCTCATATCAATTGAATAACCTCTGCAGTCAATGTTCGCCTGGCAAATCTAAGGGTAGCCTTCAGGAATCTCAACAGTCTTTCTGGGCTCTTTACACAACATACATCAGGCCAGTCTTGGAGTATGCAGCACCAGTACGGAACCAGCACCTGGAAAAGTATATTAGGAAACTGAGCTAAAGGGTATGAGCTATGAGAAGCTAACGGAATTAAAGATAATAACATTAGAGGACAGAGGAACCAGGGAAGACATGATGAGGCGGAAGGGAGACATTACAAACAATACATGGACACAGAGGGTATATAAAGGCTCAGAGTGAGGTGAATACTAGTGAGGTACCAATTTGAGGTTCACTAGTGGTAGTAGTAGTAGTAGTAGTAGTGGTAGTGACAAAAGTAATACAATATGGTAGAGCAATTAATTCGTACATGAGTAAAAGGATATAAAAGCTATTACTTGGGTAACATAAAAATAGGTTGGACAAATATAAACTGGAATGAGGCAGCTTGTTTCAGTGTTCACTCTCTGTGCTTTGTGTAGTATAACAGGAGAGACTATGTGATGGCAGGGTTTACTGTTTTCAGGAGGATTCTTGCTAAGACTTCGGAGATGGTGAAGCTGCCGTTGTTTTGTTTAATTGTATTCGAAACAGCGATCAGTGCTGATTCGAGGCACTTGCGTCTGCGGAAATTAGTTTCTTTGATCACTAATTGGGCGTCTCTGAATTTCATGAGATGATTGGAGGAATTTCGGTGTTGTACAACTACTACTGGGATCGTCACGACGAACGACAAGAAGGAAGGTAAGAATATTGTTGTTATGAATGGTTTGAAAAACCGACATGTTGAAGATTGAGACACTTATGCAGCATATGGGAATCTTTATTCAGGAAACGTTTCGCCACACAGTGGCTTCATCAGTCCAATACAAAGAGGAAGGCGTAAGGAGAGGAGGAGAATGAGGTAATCAGTCCCTCAACCTGGAGTCGATGTGTTCAGTCCATCAATCTTGTAGAATGTACAGCATAGGGCCGTAGACGTGGCTTATATACTGTAGTGAGGTGAGGTGAAGCAGGCGGAGGCGGGGTCATAGTGGTACCATCCACTAGTCGAAGTAGGTCTTCGTCCAAAGGTTGAACAAGTGTTGAAGAATTCTTTGTAACAAGATCCCATGATGCTGCAGTGTCTGACAGTTGTGATGAATGGTTTGAAAAACCGACATGTTGAAGATTGAGACACTTATGCAGCATAACACTTATGCACAAATTTTCATAATAACTATTTTGTAGTTCTCTGGACTTTTTTTTAAGGTCACCACTGCATATCCTATTATTGCCTAATATAGTATATTGTATGAACTTTATCTAACATGTTGCCATCCATGTGCTTAAAAGCTATTTTATAATTAGCTAGAGAAGCACATAATATAATATAATATAATATTCTCGATTTCACATGTATGATCGTCTGGTGAGTTTTTTTTTTTAATAATAACTCCTAGGTCTCTCTTTCTGTCTGACAGTTCCAATATTTTATCAGTCTATATTCTTCATGTGACCTAAATTCACTCTCTTCCATTTCTATTTTCTATTGCATATTTATCTAC